CCAATATCCCCCCTCAGGCCAGTGTTTTCTTCTTCTTCTGCTTCCCTCTCGCTTCGTGCCGCTCCGCTCCGCGAACTTCTCACGGGCTGGGATGAGAAGCGCCGGAGGATGTCAACCCCCCCCCCCCCTCCCTCCCGACTTTTTCCTAGTCAATCTGTCCATTGTTCGTCTATGAACACGTGCCAACATTCGGGATTCGTTACGTTCGATGACGACCGTGAGTGTAGAAATAAAGATGCGAGTTTTTGCTTCAGTCCTCTTTTCTGGCTTTATTCATCCAGTAGCTCTCAAATTTCCAATTCATCACATCCGGGGTAAATGAGACTATTAGGTGACGAACTCAAAAATACCATGCCGATATCGAATCACTCTCTTCAAAAGACGAGAAACCGAGGATGAACTAAACGCCAAGCCGACGGGAGCACGGACGCATAGCTCCGAGAGCCGGGTGATGACGACGCGGGCGCATGCAAATCGAAACAACTTCATATAATGGGGGATCACCACCCGGCCCTCTGAAATCAGACGAAGGGGGTCTCTCCCTCCCTCTCCCCCCCCCCTTCCTCCCTTCACGTGAGTATTTGTGGCTCCCTCCGGCAGCTGCCGCGTTCGAGGAGGCAGTGGCATCCTCGGTGGCACCTTCTCGCGGTGTCGAGTGCGGTCGACTACCTCGTCGGTTTCAGCTCGGCTTCTCCAAAAATAAATACTGTTTTCGGGGGAGAAAAGGAGCTGAAGCCGAGACTACGCCCTTCGTCGCCAGAGGGGGCTCTGGGACGGGTGGCTTTCGAGAATCGCAGAGGCAAAAAGGGACAGGGGAAGACCGAGGCGATGACGAGACAAAAAGACGATAAATGAAGAGGGAGAGAAAAGAAAAGAAACGAAGCAATAGGATGAGTATGTCCTAGCAGACACGTCAATAAGGAAATCAGCCATGACCTGCAGACGCATCAATTAGAAAATCAACCATTCCGGCCGAAACTATTTGACGAGAACTATCACAATAATGGCAAATCTCATGGGGGAGAGGGCTTGTGGCTGATTATTGCTCGGTTCTGAATGAGGCATCATCTCCTAGTCCAAAATACTTCCGACATAGAAGGAAACCGGGTGCCACTCGAGATACACGATACATAAAAACTCTCAAGATGGCGAAAGGTTCCTTTGCCAAAGAAATGATTGCCGAACGGGTACGGCCCTGCATCATCCTGCGGGTAGGCCTAGGTCCAGCATGCCACTCCCTTTTGCAATGTCGTTTGTGTGTCCGTACGGAACCTCGCATCTCTTGTTGCTCATAATTTGTTGCACGATTGCACATGCTCACTATCAGGTACAGTAAGGAGTTTCCAAAGCAGAAAGGAAAGAGGAAGCAGTGGCATGCTTCTGAGACATTCACAGGAGGGTTTTGTCACCTTGTGGCTCTAGCATGAGATGAGCTGGTAGATCTGAGACGACTAGATTCATGCTTCGGGTGAAAATCTAGCCAACTCTGGGGTCTCTTTCACACAAATCTACTGGCCATGCGACGACGACAAACATCATCATCATCATTCTCATCACCATCACTGCCACAAAGTGAATGCACATCCACACATTCAAATTAAATCACCAAACATATCAATGAAGGACACAGTAGTCCTAACTGCAACAATCTCAATAGGAACAGAAAGAGAAATTACTAAACTTCTTGAATACAATCATACAGGAGAGGGGAGAAGACTATGTGCTTAGGTATGACAATCATAAGATGCACAAAGCTGAGGGGTTCATCAAGATTATAAAGGCATGAAAAGATTATTCATCGTGATTATCTTGCTGTAACTGGAATACATTGTACATCAGCTCGAACGCATGTTACCCTGGAGTACATGTTAAGAGGTTTGAATAAATTTGTGGGGGGCTGTGAGACAAACTACCACACCACAACAACGTGGGAGCATCAAGCACTCTTGGTCAACTTCAGCTGGGAAAGCACAAGCAAAAACTCATACCTCTCTGGGGTCCTGCCTACCAGAGCAAATTGCATAAACCTAGACAGCTTTCACATTCATACCGTGAGAAGCAGTGCGAGTGGCATGGCCTTTTTCAGCAGGAGAGACCAAACCAAAAGAAAAGGGAAAAATAAGCAGGAAACAAAGAGCTAGCAAGCTTAACCACTCTGCTTCTTAGCGCGAGTGCTTGGCAATTGCCTTGCCACAAATTTGCACAGCGGTTTTGAAGTGGACTCCTTCGAGGAGGAACCGTGATGCTTGCGCTTGGCGCCTTTCACCTCTCGTGCATTCTCATCGGACATCATCTGCAGGGAAGCAGGAAGGACTAAGTGGTTTCCGTGGTCGAGATGACCATGCCTAACGACTCTTATTCAGGGATCTTCGCTTTTACAGAGATCACTCTGGCAGGGATCCCTTGCCTTTTCTGGTGAGGGAGCAGGAGGATGAGCAAGAGTGGGGAAATCGGCCTCAGATCTCAGCTCGAATCCCTGCTGCAAACGGACACTCTTCAAGGTTTCGGGAAGAGGAGTGGCATCGGCGTCTTGCGTGGCGTGGAGGAACGGGCAAAGATAGCCTTTGAAGCATGCACCTTTCTCCCAGAACCGGCACGGGATCGAAGCGAGATCGTGAGAAAATCGGCAATCTGCACGGCGACAGGTTCCTTCCAAGAAGAATGAACATGGGCGCTGCATCACCAATTTTGACCTGCAACAGAATGGACTGTTATTAGACACACAAGCACACATGAACTTGAGCAGAGTTGGGGAAAAGCATGTAAACCAGAATGATGTAAAGTATTTGTCTGGTACAAATGGCAAAATTAATATTTCATGAACTGTTTAAGTCAGTGGTTCCCAAACTTTTTTGGTCACAACTCAAAATTCAACATCCAAACCCTGGTTTAGGTGCTTCATAAAATGTCAGCATAATGGAACCACCTCTCTTGCTATCAGTTTAGAGATTGCAGCATTTCATGAAATGCCAAAGCTATCCAATAAACATAATAGCCAGGTATTATGCTAAGCTTTGGATAAGGTTTGCTATGATGATTTTCTACAGAACTCTCTTATTTCAAGGGCTACTAATTGCTCAACTAAGGAACAACTTAGCTGGCCATACCAAAATTAATAATACAGTTCAGGAATAAAACCTAAGGTTGGAAACAATCTTCTCAAACATGTATAGAATCAATTTGCAAGATCTGCCATTTGAGCAATATTTGCTGAGATACCAATTCAAATGGAATCCTCCCATGGAATTCTCAGCAGAATATATCAGTACCATTAGAAATGATCCTTCTCATCAGCATAGCTTGTTTCCAAGGAATGTGCTGGACTGAACACTTACCTATCATACACCTTAAGAAATCAATATCTTGATACCTGTCATAGCTTATTCTCATATTCTGAGTGAGAAGTTTGAAAATGTGAAAAATTTTCACTTTTTGGCAAGTTCCTTTGAATGCCAAAACCTTACAAAGAGGTGAGGAGACTCCTCAAACTTATGGCTTCTTGAGATTGGATGCAAGTGCAAAGCAAACTCTCCAGACATTAATTGACCTTTCACACTAGCCCTAACAAATCATACTTGGCATATCTATGATCTGACAATAAAAAACTCAACAGAGGAAATCCTCAGGGCTGACTGTTTCTTGTGGTTGGGTAAAGTTGAAGCAATAACATAAGGATAGAGGGCAAGACCAGAACTTGGTACAAATTATTACCACCATCCAGGAGAACCCCACCATAGCAGGGCCCCAATTCTGGCAAATGTCAAAATTTGATGAAACAAATTATGCAAAAGGATAAACTTATTTAGAATCACTCTTCTTTCCCTCCAACAAAGAAGAAATCTATCCCACTCTCTTACAGTAGGCCCAAGAAAAAGTCTATTGCTGCTAGAGTATCTGGGTGAACAGCCTCAAAATTCCAGATCATCTGGCTTTAGAAGTCCTAGTAGGATAATAAAGAAGAGATCTCTACCGAAGTCGTTTGGTGCGATGAAGCTTCAGGTCATTTTCCCTCCAAGCTGCCTCCAACTCATCAGAGTACATGATTCCCCTCTTCTGCTTGGGAAAGTTAGGTATAGGACCTGATACTTGGGCCTTCAATTGCTGCAAGGGCACAAAAACATTTAATAGTTAAACAGGAGATCCAGACATTTAGAATCCTGCAGGCTCCAAACTGAGGATGCAGGAGATCCTACCTCAAGATCAAAACAAAACATGGAATCATATAGGGCACCCTCAAGGAATTCCACAGGGACATCACTTGAGTCTTCAGGTTCATGAGAATCTCCATCATTGGGCTTCCAAGAAAAATGTAAGATTGATAAGTCAAAAATCACAAGTCACCGAGGGGAAGAAGGAACTTGCAAGACAGTACCATAGATCCAGATGATTGTATCTGCATTGTTTGAACCTCATCATTACCCAACTGGAGCTCTCTGAAGTGATGAATATCATTAAACAATTCATCCTCCTCCCTGGAAATCTCATCTTTCAGCTGAAGGGCATGACTAACTTCTCCTTCAGCTCTACTCCACTTCTGATATCTGAAACAACACATTTTCAGAAGCAAGGTGAGAAAAACTATTTCTATAGTGAATGATTCAACAACAAGCCTTTCCTACATGGCATAAGGGATGAAACCAGACTGGTTGGTGCATGATTCATTTGGAAAATGAGATGAGTCATAAATCCTGCTTGTTCACTGCCATGTGAGTCACACAACATCCACAATTTAAGCATATCTACATACTAACCCAAATAAGAATAAGTCCCAAGACTGCATGCTTCAATCAAAATGGTTACTTTGGAAACACATTAAATGTACTACAGTTGATGTAGACTGCAGCCACTCCAAGGGCAAGATGTCCCCATATTTTAACTCAAATGAGCAATGAATGAAAAATACATATCAATGAACACATGCACTGGCCAGAAAAAGTCCTCCCAATTTTCCCCATCCCCCATAAAAAAAAATGCATTAAAAAACTAATGTCTGGTTTTTTCTCCTGAAGTTTGACAAGTACATAGACAAGAGTACATAGGGATTAGGCACAGTTTACTACTCCCACACCACAACCTAGTTCAACCACAATCTAGTAATAATCAGCAAGTGTTGGCTTGATAACAGGAATATCTATATGTGCAAGGGTATTTTTCATGCTGTGAGACTAGCAAGTAGTCATCAAATTCCTGGCTTTGTAGATGCTGCAGAAATTCATTGAAGGTAAGCGACAGTCTGAAACAATGTGAAGGACTTGAGCAATGTTGGCAAGAGGCAGAAAGTATGGGCCTTCTCTGAATGCTAAATATCTTAAATATGATCATCAAGTTCCTTGTCCTCTCAATGGGCATTAATGAAGACCAAGGTCCAACCTCCCCTGATAGCTAGTGATGTCCAGAAAATACAATGACAAAATGAGGAGAGAAATATTGTTACTTTCTGTATATGGAACACCAAGATCTGCACTACTACACAGCAAAATTCCTAATCTTCATTGTTTACTCTATCATGCTGAACTCATGGAACACCCCCAAGTTACTACAAGCTCTAAAATCACCTTCATGAGGTCATTATCATAGAATGCGCAAAAATACTCATTAATTAAGTCCAAGCCATCCCAATAAAGGAGTTTATTGCTACCCTCTACATCACAACTTATGATTCCTATTCAACTTCATATGAGTCAGGCTTTAATTCCAATGATGGCAGTTGTACAATTACTACTAGCTATAAATATTATGCCTTAGTCATGGAGTACAGCTTACCCAAGATCTGGAAGCGGGATTTCTTCTGGAAGATGCCTTGGGGCCAGCAAGTGTCTATTGACTGACTGTGTCTGTTTAAAGATCCATTCATCAGAATAAGTAGAAAGAGGGTGTTGTGGGCCATGTGAAGCATTCCTGGCTCCTGATTCTATTCCTTCCTTGGGATCTAACATCTGAAAAACAATGAAAAACCCTCAGAATCACTCCTGGAAGGAAATGAGACTTAATTCAAATTCTTAAACTACTCCAGTCCCTCTGGAATAGCTTTCCTTCTCTTTTCCTTTTAAATCAAAAGAAGGTAAATCACCAATGAAGGATGGGCTAGCTAGATATCAACCCAGCTGCAAACACCAGCATTCAACCTCACTAGCTGTTTCTAGCCATGTCCCCTAGCTTTTCACCATGCTGGTTGGATTTTTGCTCAATAGTTGAATTGCTAACTTGTTTCATTTCTTCTTTCATGCCCTGTTTCCATGTGAAAGTGCAAAGATTGGATTCACCCTAATGATTGAAATCTAAAAACATCTGGGAAACTACGCAGAGTGGAATGATAACAATGGTGGGTCTAGAACAGTAATGAAACATAGAGATGATGATGCGAGCTGGATCTAGCTAACTTGTCAGTCTCTGCTTCTTCTCTCCAGGGTATGCTTCTAACAACTATATCTATTACATGAGGTTGTTTTCCCTCACTACAACCCCTTGCATTTGGGCTGAGGAGATGATTCTTTGACCCCCATCATTGTCTCCATCGAAGCTTCATATTTTCCCTCTTGCAGCAGGTACATAGAGGTATTCTATTTCTCCCATAAGGAAACCTTTCTCCTTACCCTATGTCTGAAATAGAATCAAGTGTGCAAATAACTAACATTGTACAAAGGGACTGAGATAGGTCATTATGTTTGTTGTCCAGGAGGCTTATGCATAAACCCAATGATGGTGGCACAGAGGGTAATGTCTATACTTATTCAATACCTTGCAGGATGAAAAAATTTGTGCTAAACTCTCAAATGTCTCCAGAAGTAAATTTCTTCGGAGAGATTACTATTAAACTAGAGAACTAAGACAAAGCATTGAGTCCTTGAATTCTACAGACATGACAAAAACACCCCAAGCAAAAGCCTTTCCCAGAACATATTGATTTTGAAAGTTGGTGTGTTCCTGCTCACTAACATCTCAAATCTCCTGATCCAGATTAGCCAGGGGAGTGTGACACCTAGATGGGACAGATAATCTAACATTGTTCCATGGATTCAAAAAAAGACTATCTAGCACATAGAAGTAATCCTTTAACATTCCAGATGATACCTTGTGATGGCCCATCACCAGTTGCGGAAATATAAGGAAGGAAGGTAGGTGAAATTCATGAGCTTCCTTTTGACCCGTTTGCAATAAACTCTACCCCTTCTCTTTTCAGATACAAACCATAATGTAGCACATTATATACCTGGTCAGTCTGGCATTTCTTCTCCAAGGCTGAACTTCGTAACTTGAACTTGGGGCAAAACCCTGCAGAGGCATCCCTTGAAATCCTTCCATCATGAAGTGAGACAGTTGCATCCTTCTCAATGAATTGCCAATCTAATGTCATGTCAGGATCAGGTTTCTCTGGCCTAGAGGCTGTTGGGTGGAAAATCATGAACTTCTCAGGGGAGTTGCGGGAACTGCATTTACCTCCACGAATGGTGAGGTAATATCCATTCTCCTCCTGGACAAACTGAGGCTTTTCATCTTCATCTTCTGAAGAGATGGTGAATGTTGCACCATCTTCATAACGATCACTAGATTGGGATACATCCAGGCTCTCCTGCTTAATGGGCTTAAAGTGGGTCTTAGGAGATGTAAGGAGATTCTCTTCAGATCGACCGGGCTCTTTGGAGATGTCAGCACATTCTGACTGAGCGAATTTGGTCAGGACCGTGCTGAGATCCTCCCGCAAGTCAGCCATTTGCCATTTGTTGTTCACTTCTTCAAAGCAACTTTCTCCCTTGTGATAGAGAAATCCTTTGTCATTGCTTGGAAGAACTTTGCCAAAGCCTTCTACTCTTGGAAAGTCTCGATCAAATAAGCAATGCTCAGTATTCCCACCGATCATATTCACGACTTCTGGTTTCATTTCACCTCTCTTACTGAACCAGCTCTGAAGAGTGTCACCCTGGAGAGGTGATGACAAGTGAGATGACCAAATGTAATTGGTGTCAGTCTGGGATGACCAAATACTCTTCAAGCTGTCACTGCTGTTCACATCTGGTGGATGGATGTCATGATCAACATTACCAAAGAAGACTCCATCTTTGAATGCTGTTGCATCTTCCTTGCTTCCCACAGAGCCATGTGCTTCAGGGAGAAGAGGGGATGAGGTAGCTGGAAAGGCTGCAAGTGAATGCTGAATGTGGCTAAATCCTGGAGGGGGTACATTGCTGGGATTTGACCAGAGGGACTCCAAACGCTCATCAAACTTGGACATAAACTTTTCCATGGAAGAATCATGAGATCCACCTTGTTTCTGATCAGGATTCTCTGCTTTCTGACATCTGAATTTTACTGGGGGTGGGAGTTCCTCTCCATCCCATGCCTTCAGACCATTCCAGCTGCCCTTGCGATCAATACCTTCTGATGAAGTTTTCTGGATGTGTTCTTTCAGTGTTTCTGGGCATGAATTTTCAGCATCCCATTTGAGACTCTGATCAATCTTTTTCCCACTAACAGCTCCTTCAGATAAATGTGCAATCCAGGATGGGACCAGGAACTTCTTGCTTGATTTTTCATTCAAATGGGGAACAATGAAGACTTGATTCAAGGGACCTAGAACCTTGCGTCTGTGTGCCATAGACTCTTTCTGGCTTCCATGTTCCCATTGCTTTTCTTCATGTTTCATTTCCAGATTTGCCTTGCCATTCCAAACAGATTCTTCATTTTCCCTAACAACAGGCTGATCTTCTTCATCACTCAGAGCCGGGAATGCAGCAAAATACCTTGAATGAAAATGATTTCAATGAATAGTACAATAAAAACAGTGTACTTAATGTGAAGGAACATGGATAACACTCGTAAAATTCAAGCTGGCTTACTGCTTGGCACGCTCCTCTGGTGATACGGGATTGCTGCTGCCCTGGAGTGGCTCTCGGTCACAATGGCCAACTTGCAAACTATTCCTGGACCCTAAGCTCTCACCTGCAAAACAGGAGACACATCCTTCTCATGCCTGAGTACATGAATAAATTTATTGCTTTATTAGCAATTTATGTGCCTGGATATTTGTCAGTCTGGGTCAGGCGAGATACGAATCATCAAGTATCCATCAACAGGGTTGTGGTGCTGTCACCAACTAGAGCTGCCACATTCCTTCCAGCCTTTGAGGCTGATGAATCCATTATTGAAAAACAGAGACAGAGGGAGTATGTTATTGCTAGCTGGACTCATGCAATGGTACATCTGACAATGCCATGTCTCCTCCCATCATCCAACCTCTCCCTACTTGCCACATACTCCACCTGTTCCCAACAGTCATTGAAAGGAAGCCAAAAATTGGACTGGGCTTGCCCTGCCTTTTATATAGCTTTCTGGAGAATTTTGTTCCATTACTCTGTATGTAATACAATGTTCCATGGGTACTTTACAAGTAGCTGAGTCTTGAGAACAAGACTTTGGTGGAAGAGTGAGGAGGCTTGGCAGTATCATGAGTCCAGCAACTTAAAGGAGAGTACCAGACCAACAGTTTCAGGAAACTAGTTTAATTTTTGTCAGGTTCAAATAGTTTCCTCAGCATCTTTATTTCCCTCAGAGGCTCTATTAATTTTTATCTGACTTCATTCATTCTTTCATTATTGTTGCTATGTACTTGATGATTTTAGCAAAGCAACTTACATTCCTGGAACTCCTTCAGCTTGGCACATAATTCATCCACCAGTTTTTCAATGCCGCATGTCTGAAAATGAAAAGGCAATACAATAAAGACTTTTTTATTTTCTTTACTCATTTACCTCATTACTTGACTGAACCCATTTCACCTAATTTGATAGTGGTCCTAAGTGACCCAAATTGATCCAGTGACTCAATTGTTATAGAATGGCCAGACTTCATTAAAACTGATTCAATGATGCAAAGTGACCCAGACTGACCAAAATCGATCCACCTACTTGCCACAAGTTTCCTACTATATTCAAATTCAAGAAGCACCCACATGAAAGAAAAAAAGACTACTGGATCTTTGTTGTCGAAAGAAGTAGCATTGTGTTGGGTCACTCTGGGTCAGTATTAGCAAACTTGGATCACTAAAGGATAACTATGATCAGGGTGACAATGGGTCAATTGAACCAGTATTTGTGATTAAGATAACTTTGGCATTAATGTTGGTGAGCGAGTTCCAGACAGTTCGTGCAGGAAATAATCCCTATACAATTGTTCCACGATCCCTGACACCCTATGTACACACCCTATATATAACGACTGCCAATCGACTAATCGATCGATAAATCTCAATCAAGTCCCTGCATTCCTCCTGAATCTAGCGAATGCAAGACATTCAAATCGATTCATCATATCGACAACGTTTCAAGCTGATTATGGGTGGTCACTACCGTCTTGCCCAGCGGTTGGAGCAATTTTTATTTATTTATCCAAATGGGTCCGTCGTGAACGGACGGACCTGGAAGACATGCATCAGATAGCCATCAGCTCTACTTCAGCGTTCGGGTACACTCCGCGTGGAACTGAAGCGATCCAATCCAATGGGACGCGTGTTGGCGCCCGTGGACACTAATCTCCCTTGTCCGTGCGAATAGTCATGGTTGCAAGGAGATTCATCCATTCAGTCTTCGACGCTGAAGCGTCTCGCGTTCGTGCTCACGGAATAGACTGGGGGGGGGGGAGTGTCTTTCTCGAGAGTAAGGGGCGGCAGGAAAATGAGTTCTCAGACCCTGGGGAACGGAAAAGTCCAGTTCCCGAAAGAATGAATGCAATTCCGATCCCTCGAACCGCATTTCAGCGTGTTCAAATTCTGCCTGCTGTCTGGATTGCGAAATAAACCGAACGGCAAGGATTCTCCCCAATCCCTGTCCCTATCATGTCCAGCGCAAAAATTCTTCCATTCAAGTCCATTCGAATTCATGCGCTTACGTAATGCGAACTCGTAGAACAGCAACAGCTCCGAAATACCAGGAACTGCGCAAAGCATTTGTTCTCAACCCGCGTTCCGCAGCACCCAGGGGTGCCGCGAGAGAGGCTGGCAAGGGTGCCCCGGGGGTTAACTTGATGAAAGATTTTAGTAGATTTTCACTGAGTACACAGGTGGCGAATATCCCAAGTACTTCACGAGCATTGCAAATATTGCATGTATTTGCGATGGATGACGAATTGGAAGAGAGAAAAAAATCACTTTCATCCAAAATTTGAATGCATTTTCAATATTTCTTGTCACCTCATAACAAATAGGGTAGGTGAGTCAAATTTCGACCCTGCTATAAAGTCCCGTCCCCCAGTTACATAGTTCAACGTGATAAGAAATCCAAAGTCTTTTTCAACCAAACTACATCAATGTCCAGTCTTGAAACGTGAATAGACGGTGTGCATTTTCTACTCGATTGGCGTAGATCCCAAAACAATGAATTTCAAAACGTAGGTGAGGGGGCGGAGCTTAAGGCGGTCGGAATTTCAATCACCTACCCTACATCAATTATTCATAAGTCCTAATTATGTGAAACTCTCAAGTACTTGGAAATTCTACGTCCATTTACTCAGCGAAAATCGTTTCCAATCTTCATTTTCATCTTTTACTCTTCCAATCAGTCGACGAAAGAGAACCCCCTCCCCCTCCTTACTTTTTCTCTCTGCATGTCCCCCAAAAGGAAGCCAAGAGGGGAAGGAGGCCACAACGCTCCTTAAACTGGCGTGACCGACTGTACGCGTGTGGGCGGCTAACTCCTGCCGGAGAACCGGTTTCAAAATACGACGTTTCGGACTTCAGCCTACCCTCTTAAAACTGCGAATCAGGAGAGCACAATACGAGTCGATTGTTACCGATATTGACTCACATTGCGCATTCCTGGAATCCAATTCCATTCAGAGAGCATCTACAAAGGAAGAATGCTAAGATAAATATTGTTGCTGCAATGAAGATCCAATTGCTTTTGCCAATTGCTTTTGTAACAATAACTTCTCTTATTCTGAGGGACTATGCATGCTTAAAAAAAAAATAGCTCAGGTCCCTATGAGCAATAAGAATTGCCTGACTGGGTTCAATTCAAACATTGAACCGCATCTTCTTTTTCCGTTAAACCATTAATAGCGCATTGAAGTGAAAAAAAAGAGTCTGATTGAAACCAGATTATTCTTTTTCAGAAATTAGATCTTAGATTTCTGATCCTTATTCCCCATTTTTTGTTACTGAAAGTAGTTTACAAAAATAATTGTCTTTAGGTCTTGAAGTATTTTCTAGTAGGGCTGCAAATTCAATCCAATTAGGTTATTTTTTTTTGGTTTCATTGCAATTTCAAAGAACAATCAATATTATTCTCATTTAAATTTGCCTCCGGAATTTCCCCTTTCACTTCAATTTCGCTGCGTATTATGCAGATTTATCAGAGGTCCAGGAAGTTGGCCAGCGACGAAGGTCGAGAAAGGAACGCGGGAAGCATCAGGGAATGTACGAAGGTCATACGAACATGTTCCTATTCCAGTGAAAATTTTGGCGAAATAGCGATTATAGGATCGGACACCTAGCAGCACCCATTCCGTGGAAAGGAAAGGATAACGGCCAGCGCGATCTTCCTGCCGTCGCTCCGGCGGAGTTCTCACGCTCTCCCGGCTCTTCCGTATTGGTGACGACAGATGCTCAGAACAGCAGGAAACGGATGTCCGTGCGCGCAAGGCAGTCGAGTGTCCGGTTTCACAGGAAAGCTTTCCATGCTATATTCATTCATGGCGTTGAACTTATAATTCCAGATAATGCATCTACACTAGGGTGGTCAAACATTAACGTTGGACCAATTGTGAACCAAATTCTGCTGCTGGTGTTCTAAAGTTCGATTGCATAAGGCTTCGCAAATCCGTATGGATTGCCATGTAACAGACCCTATTTTTAAGTTTAGGGCATGTCATGAACCTATCAGGCCCCTGTATGCATCTTACTTGGCCCTTAGCCAGTGCATAACTGTTTGGCTGGACAATGAAAATATGGCTAGGCCTAGGCTTATGAGCTTAGGCAAGAAAGAAGTCAACAAGTTTAAGCCTTTGTGGGTTACACTCCTTTGTGGGAGCACCTAATAATAGATAGGGTAACCACACTCTAGTCCTGTAGAGCCACTGGAATGAATGATTTCTTGACAGTGGGTCTATAAAAAAATATTCTGAATTATTTCTGTTTAAACTTCCCATATATTTTTTCATATATAACATTGCCAGACTTAGACCTAGACCCAAATGTATATTTACTGAGAAAAGCTCAAAGGGGATCTCCTTTCCAAGCATATTCTCATACAGAGTTGTAAGTTGGAGGAAATAAAGGCATGTAAATACTCCAAATTTCCAACTGAGAGAGTTCATCTGAAACCCCAAGACATCCAGCTTTCATTTGAAGGATAGGTGGTGTATATGTGCAAAGTGGTAAATGTGGGAGAATCACCCCATGATTACTAGAGAAAAGCTAAAGGTGACCTAAAAAAATTATCCCTCCTAAAATGTTATGGTGCTTCTAAATAGAACCACCATTACATTTCAGGGAAATTAGTAGAGGTTTATATAACTCAATGACCATTACCATTTATCTGTGCATCTTTCCTTAGTCTTGCTTAGCGAGGCACACACTCCCCTTCTCATCAACATCACCCTGACCACACCTGTCCTTGAGAAGGTAATATCCCTGGCTTTTGAGCAATAGTAATTTTCATTAATTTTCCTGGCAAGTGCAAGCCAGTCATTTCTGTATTTCTGTACCATACAGTAACAAGCTTAACTAGGACTGCAAAAAGCAGGAAACTCATGGAGACAAAGAATGCAGTCTTTTATCAGCTTCCTCTCACTACATTCAGGGGGGGAACCTGGAGGCTGATTAACATGTTAGCTGCCTTATTTTCTAGTAATCATGGAATATTACAAAGCTCACCTCATCAGATGCAGACAGAAGACACTCTACTGCTGCATGACGCTTGAGGTCTTCGCAATCCCAAGATCGACGAGCCCCATCTTCTTTCCGCATCTTCTTTGCTGACTTCTTATTTAACTGTATTGCATCCAGAATGATAGACATTATAATACCAAAATTACATAAATATGATTTCAACTTACAACCTTTTCAAGCAATTGTAGCAGTACCTTCTTCCCTGGCAAGGGTGTTGATGCAGCATCCAAATAATCTGGTGGTAAGTCTTGATCAAGATCTGAAGGGTCCAAGGAGTCTTGAGCCAGGAGAGACAGGACATAGTGGGCATACACAACAGCATCAATCCCACGTGACTCCAGTTCAGCAGCAAGCCACTTCTGCAGCCCATCCGGCAAGGACACAACTCGCAAGTACTTCATTGCGACTGAAAAAGAGTAAGATAATGTGAGTTAGCCATAAGACAAAATATCTTAAAGATACACACTGTATATTGGCATGGTTTATGGCCTTTAACATTTACAGGATATTATCACTTACTCTCTTTCTGACAAAACAATGCAGAATCCACAAATATTGCAAAAGATAGCAATATCCTTGCCTTTCCAAAAATCCATACTGATTTTCATCATTTGCTTTATCTAGATGACTTAAGTGATAAAAAATAAGAGAAATGCTATCAACGATAGTCACTAAATTATATCAAGAGTTTTTGGTCCTGAAATTCTGCAGAAATACATGATGATTCAATGAACTCCATCTGTGCCTTACATGGATCCATAGGGTTACCTATACCAGGATTTAAAAAAACTACAGCCTTTTATTTAAACCTTTTCCAAAATCATAATGATTCATAAAGATCAGGTCACAGAATGAAGTACCACTCAATAGAAATTAATTCTGTGGGTACCATGTGCATAATAAAAGAAACAAGTGAGAATAGGCTATGAGTCACTGTCACATTACTGTTCCTTCTGAACACAAGTATGGCCATGCTCAGCGAAAAGATGCAACATTTTAAAATTGCCCAGGATATATTATTTATATAGGAAAATGGAGCAAACCAGATAAGGTTTTATCAAGGGAAATGCAAAATTTTAATGAATTCCAGCAATACAGATTCAAATGTCATGAACAATGGTACCTTAAAGGTTTTGCATGCGGTCAAGGGTTTAGCCTAAAGGGCATGTTGTTGTCAGACCTTGGAAGTGTTTTTCTGCTATATTAGACATTGCCCTGAAGCTGGAATTTTACTAGAAAAGCAGACAAATCACATGAGGATGAGTCAGAAAAAGACTGAATAAGGTATTGAGGTGAAGAATTTTCTTCTCCTCATAGAGGCAAATATCCACTAGGTGGTGTAGATATGTACCCATCTGGCATTTATTCATTTTGTATCTAAGCCATTAGTATATGTATCCAGCTGGCACTCAATTCTGACTTTGAGGCATCAGTAATGATTCTATATGCACTATCAATAGGTATTAATGCAATTTCACTGTTTATTTGCTTTATGAAGTGCATGTCTATATCCTTGAATGTTTTTATTCCCAAACTGCAAGAAGTAAAAGTAATTTATTTCTGCAATGTGGGAATGGCCCCTTCAAAGTAAGGCAACCCTTGGGCAACTAGATAAAGGAAAGACAGTTAAACAGAGATTTAGGCCTTCCTCATATGATAATAAACATTGACTCAGTCTTCACAGACTTCCATTACTGACCCTACCATATTTATTCTTCCTAATGAGTTGCAATGAACTGTAAGTTGAAAAGTTCAATAAGCAAAAATTTACAATTGAGTCTTTGCTAATGACAGAATGATCTCCCATTTCTTCCAACTGTGACTCCAAATGCTTCTTCTTTTGATAATGCAAGATAAGTTTCAGTTCATTGAATGTCAACTCCAGCAGATCAACTCACAGGCAAACAGTAAATTCTGAAAGTGGAGCCTTCCCCCTTTGCATTAAATTATATGATCTGATAAAAAGTTAAAAATACAATTTTGAATATTTGCAAAATCAAGAGTTTTTCCATTTTCAGACTGAAGAATGCTTGATAAAAGAATGATAATGTTTCCCTTTCCACTAGAGTTGAAATTAATATTTCCTGGTGCAAAGTCAAGCATTACACATTTCTTATTCTGAAGTTAAAACTAATGAATGATTCTTCACTGCCCAAAAAAGGTTCAAAATTGCATATTTTCCCATTCATCTGTTTATCAATGAAATGAGGGTCACTCCATAGAGGTCTTAATTTGTGATGTGTACTATACAGAAACCTTCTACAGCAACTTTTAAAGACTTCCTTGTTGAACCCTTATCAGTTTCCCAAGTAAAATCTGACAAAAATGTTGACACAATGGCAGAAATCTCATTTGTGGAACATTGTATGAGCTTCATATTTGGCATAGGCATGACTGGAAAGTACAGTGAGATGTTTTATCATTTTCAGCTGTGAGTCTTCTCATCATTCCCTTGTTTGGGAATGATGAGAAGAGAAATAAAAATTTTGAGGGTTGCCACAACAATATCCAGAGCTGAATCCCTGTTCGTGATTGGCTCTCCTGAATAAAGTCATGCACAGCTCTGAATATCTCATCCATGGTCATTCATAAAAATGCTGAAGAGATGCCAAATTATAATTTTTAGTAATGATTAATAGAAAGAATTGAAACCAATGTCTTCTGAGGCTGGCTTCAGCTTAGTGTTCACTTTCTACCATACATTTATTCCTCTAGTGGATAGCACCCAACATGGAATAGTTTGGCAGGATGCCCAGGGCAGTCCCTATTGGTACTCCAAGGAATTAAAAAAATATTTCCTATTCACATATCCCAACTGGATTCTGTATCATACTGCATTCAATGTCACATTAAAGGACAGAGATCCCCTTATACATTGACACGCAAGAGACCTATCCCTTTCTTTATATTGCCAATCATTAGATGGGAAATGCTGATTCCTGCCATGTTTTCTGCCAAACTTCTGCAGGGAAAACTGCTCCTCTATTGTTTGCATTTTGACCAATATTTCCAAGTGTTATGTGGAAAAATTGTGATTTGTGCTTCACATTGATGTGAAAAAATTCCTGGGAAATGCCTGAATAAGAATTATCAGGCAATTTTTTCACAAACTTGTGTGCCTGTTGAAAATCCCCCATGAGAAACAAATTGGACAAGGGTTAAGCACACATTTTTCCCCTCAGATGATAATGGATTGTAATGCTCTTCCTCCAAAAGCAAGATCCCTACCAATAGCAGAATCCTTTAAGAAATCCCTCTCTGAACTTCAACCACTTGCCCTTGCCTTTGCTAGTATTCCACTATATTTCCAGATCTGTTCCCAAAACTTAGTGATACAAGACTTGCCGAACCATTATATTGAGGGTAAGAGGCTCAGAAGTAAGCAATCCCTTTTTTGTGTCTATCCCAGGGGTGTGCAACCTTTATCATCAGTGGGCCACATAAAAATGTCCAATTCTTCACATGGACCATTGCTTGCACAAGAAAAGGCTCCCCTCTTATTTCCTCGGGTCATACAAGGGCATAAGGTTGCACTGATTAACCAACGACCCTCACCTCTTCCCCACCCTTAGGAAATTCCAGCACCCAAAAATGTACTTGGCATTGAGAATGCTAGGATAAAATACTTAGGGGAAGGAAGTGAAAGGACTCAGTCTATTTCCAATTGCAATGGGATGACCAAAGTTGCGATGACCCTTGGGCCACAAAGAAACTTATTTTATTCGTCATCCCATTACATATTAATGGGCTGCTAGAAATAGGTCCACGGGTCACATGCAGCCTGTGGGTTGCAGATCCCTGGTCTACCTCAACCACCACCTGGTCAATTAAAGAACAAGCAGACTGCCTGAAATTGAAGTTAGGAAGGAAGGAATATAAAAAGGGAAGAGACATAAAAGGTCATTTGATTCTTCCAACTCCCTAGACACATGCTGAATGCTAGATTTTCCCGAGGAGACCTTCCATATTCCATTTATAGGGCAGTTACAATGATTTGATTGGGTTCTTTCCTATTCCAATCATAATCAAATTTGGTATAGAGTCCACTCACCTGAAACACACAAGTTCTCTGACATTGCTTTAATATACTCAAGGGGGCCAGAGAGGGAAATATATCACATCAGGTCAACTTCATCAATCTCAAACTCACTTCATTCTGTAGAGTTTTATTAGGCCCAGAACCTTTAGACTAATTTACAGGAAAAGAACCTTAAAAATTTTCTATTCACCTCCACTCTCAAGTTAGTCTTCAAATCCAAATTCAGAACCAGGATCAGTTGGCTTAAACATAAGAATACTGGAGACCTTGAGGATTAGGCTTACCCTCCAGACTACCATGAATATAAAAAGGCTTTAAAAACAAAAGTCAAGGTAAAACCTACCTCCTGTCCTCCTGGCTCAAAAGTCCCCCACTTTGCATGATGTTGATGGAGTGCACATCTTGATGCAGATCTTCATGGGCAAATTTTGCCCACTATCATTTCTTCCACATGATAGTAATTCAGAGGCACAATTGGTATCATACTATGAGTATCTACACACATACACTATGTCTTCACGTCCACTCAGATGAATGGGAGGATTCTCATGATAAAGTATTGGTCTATGAGACCAAATCAGGCATAATGTGGAATGGGAAATTGTCCTCCGTTTGCAAGACAGGTCACTGAAGCTGGTAGACGATGGGCTGGCAAGGTTCAGAGTTCCTTGGAAATCAGGATTACCAGAAAAAAAAGCACTCAAGGAATGAGTTGTGGCAACTGAGAGGTCAATAATTCCGTGATGCCAATGTCTCTTTCCCCAACCACTCCGAGGTCAGGGAAAAGGCAAAACACACTCTTGATGTCTAATCCATCCTGGTTGGATAGAGAAATAACTAAATCACACTGAAAAGAGTTGAAAAGGAGAATTGGAAACTGAAGGCATGCCAGAGCCCATTGAATGGATAAGATATCCCGGGCAGAGGCAAAAAACCTGCAAAATCAAAGCAGAGAGGTCTAATTAGAACCTTCAATGACTCATCAACTAGGCAGGCACTGACATATTAATGAGATCAGATCCCATTCTTAACAAAGAGAAGACAGTGCTAATACTAAATTCCAATCATAATATTACCCATCTGTGCTAACAGCACTCTCTCTAATGTGATGAAATAATCTCATATGCAAAGGAGAAGGCATAATCCTTCCATTTTCCTTATTTGTGTTGAACATAAATTGGAGTTGACAGGTATAGTGTGATGAAATTGGATTGCAAAGAGTTAAGCTTATTGTGGTCACTTGGAATAGCTGGCTCAAGTGGGCTGCTTATGTTCACAACATTTCAAACTCTCTTTTCCACTGCTATACAAAATTACTTTCCATAACCACCATCTACCTACCTCTCCTTTCCCAGGAGAATTCAGAAATGCTTCCAGATACCTGCAGGATACATGGAAACAGTAAACAAGAATCCAACTTCACCAACTCAGTCATGACTTTGCTACAATTTTCTTATTCTATCTTCTTTCCTTCTCTGTACAATGAGCTTTCTGATCATCCTCTCAGGACTTACTTGCACATTAGAAGAGCAACAATCTATAAATCTGGTATTCTTGAAATTTAAGAAGTCTAAAGCATAAATATATGAGACAGTCCTTCATAGAATCAGATCACTCTGAAGAACTCTCCCAGGTGCAAATGACTTCCCAAAACTTAAAATTCAATACCTTTTTCTGTGTAAAGAAAACTAGCAATAAGTCCAGGTGCCTTTGAGGAATTAAGATAAACACTATGCACTTCCAAGTAGGACAGTCATAAAGGCTTTTCTTGGAAATATTGCCTGTTCCCCCTACCTTTTCCTTCTTCCTTGTGTTGTCCTCTTTCTCCCCTTCAATGGGAGTAACAGTTCATAAGGATAAGTATCTGGGGGGGGGGGGGGGGTTGGAAACTCCAAACTTGCCCTTCCCAGTAAGCAAATTTCATGACTTATTCTCTCAATAGGAACATCCTATTAACATCTTTGTCTGATAGGGACAGTCAATTCTTCAGTTTCACTACTGGACTGCCAGACTTCCAAGATTTAATTTCAGCAGACCTTCCCATGTGATCTGCACTAAGGGTGATAAATGGAATAGCATAGTTCATTGCATTTAATGGCCAGAAAATTCTAGAGAGTGACTTGTGGTACTCATATTGGCTCTCAATTAGAGTAGCCCACCATGACACCATATGAGAAATATATGATGTCATATTAGGGTACACCAGCTGAGATTCAATTTGGAAGTTGCAACCATCTGTCCAAGGCCATGAGTGTCCTCTTGTAAACTGCATGTTAATATGGCTAATATTAATGTAGCTCTAGCTTTAGAGCCTACAGTTTGGCCTAGTTCAAAGGTCCAGGCTAAGAGACAGAATTTTCGGATTGACTTTCACTTACCTACGTTCTCTTTTGCTGTTATCAACGGTGCTTAAAAGACACCTAGCTATCACAATTGCCATTAGGAGCTATGGAATATAAGAATAAGTGAAACCCAGGGAGTGACATCCCTTTCTGGGCAGGAGAACAACTACTTCAAGAAACAATGGCAGAGGCCAGATAAAAGTGCAGGGCAGATGTTAAAAGGTATGAGTCAATCCAAAATCACTGTGGATGTAGTTATGCTAGGCCTAATACACTGCCTTGTAGAACTAACGTCAGGCATATCGTGCTACAACAATGCATTCATATGAGGCACAACGGTGATTTTGGAAACGAATTTGTACTACATTCAAAATTGGGCATGCAAGTTCTATAGGGCATACAAACGAGTCAGAGGATATCTCCTATGCAAGCAGTGACGTTAGTCGCACATACTCCATAGTAAAGCTGGTACGATTCCATTTGTAAATCACTGAAGGGCCTAACGTTAGTGATTCTTAGTCTAAGGCAAAGGCCTCAGTCGTGGAAGTCAGGAAGGGTGGATTCAATCAAATCTCACCGGAGACTCATCCAACATGCACTCCCACCTGCACTGACGCTATAACTACGCTTATCGATAGTTTCCAAGGGTTAAGGTTAGGCTTTCACCGGTGCAAAAGAACTTTCCAAGGTCCTGGTTCGATCACCAATGGTCCGAGCAGTGGAATACGCCATAAGCCTCTGCGTAACACCTGCGTGACGTAATGGCCCACTGCGCAGACGCTCTCTCGGACTCGGAAGCAGCCATACCTCCTACGAACTTCAATAGATGGCGATTAGAGAGCTCACCTTGGCCTATGGCACCTTGGACAATAACGAGGTCGGCAGTCGAGCTCCTCGTCCTCACTCGTTAGGCGTGAGTTAGGCACGATTCCTCTCTCGCGACGGCAGGACGCACAGGAACTAGGAAATAAATTTAGTGGAGCCGAGATATCTTATTCGCGGCTGGCTCCCTCCTGTCCCCATCCTCATTTGAGATATTGCCTTCCGGTTGTGGTCGATTACGCCCGGAATAGACTCTCTGATAATGCGGATGCGATGCGAGGAGACGACGAGCGATCGAGGAGGCAGGAGGGGGCCGCTCCGTCGTCTCCCGCCTTTCGCAATTCCGGGGGTGGCCGGTCTCGGAACGGGGTAATTAATCTCGGGACAGGAAATGCCGTGAGTGTCTGAAAGCTCTTCTGGAAGCGCTTTTCACTTTCTCCGAACGTGCCAAGATAAGAAACGACTTTTGCACTCGCAGCAAAGATATAAAACGTGCTCGCTTTATATCTTAATCGTTTGGAATTTTGTCGTTCCATAAGCTCTCCATCGCTTTCCTCAAAGCTGGCACGAAAAAATAAAAACCTGAAGAAATACGGAATCCAACTCCAGTCCTAAATCTGAACATAAATGAATCTGAATAATCTTCGAAGGTCTCTCTCCTACCTGGATTCACCTGTATTTGCATGCAACCGTCTCTTGCATTACGAGGAGCACTCCATGAGTTTTGGCAACAGCAGTCCGACTCGTGTATTCTGATTCTCGGGTGATTGTTCGCGATGCAAATCGTTCCCGTTCCAGCGAGTCGTTTCGTCAGCTGGAATATTTCACGTGTGGTTATCGCATCGAGGCTTCCGGGAACTGCATCGGCCCGTCGGTCCGAATACCGGCGACGCTTGATTGAACCTCTGACGAAGGAGCAATTTTGCGCGGGTGTCGGAAGAGAGAATCCCGCGGGAAGAGAGTGTCCCGTGGGAACGGGCGAGTGTGCATGGCTTTTGCCGATAGGAAAAATAAAAATGCCGGAACTCACCGGGTGCTCCTCGCACTGGGCCTTCTTTCGCGTGGAATGGACGAAATCACTGGAAGCGAGACCTCCCTGGACCTCCCCCTCCCCCCTCGTTTTTCATGCATACCATCCGATATCTCACAAGGAAGGATCCCGTCCCCCGACCCCGTTTATCTCCGAGTGATTAATTTATCACTCCAGTTCCTCATCGTCATCCCCTCCGTGCAGTTCCCAGGGACCGACGGACACCCCCGGGCGACGCCCCCGTCGGGTTCCCGGGCCGCGATGGGACGCTCGAGGACGAGCCCGCTAGAGACGGAATGGGTCCTCGACGAGGCCAAGAAGAGAGCACAGACCTCGAGAACGCCACGAGTTCACCCGTGACCGATTCACCTGCAAACGGGCAACCCGTCATCGAGAAGTCGGAGGGAAGAGAACCGACTCTCGTCTCCGAGGAAAAGGTAACCACTCCACTCGGACACGAGCATGCAGTTGAGATATTTATGCCATCGACAAAGGTCGACTCTCGACGACACATCTCGTCAGAAGTCGATTTTTCGCGAGCGAAAGAACGGCATCTGACAGAAAGGGAAGTGCCTGATGGCACGATTCCCCGTCTGCATTTATCTCGTTAAAAGTACGGGTCGCACAGATAAAAATTTGTCCGACCGGCTTCAACAGCCTCTCCTCTTCATATCTTGTACGCACGCGATTTTTATTTTATTTTTTGTAAGCTAAGCCCTTTTCGAGATGCTCGCCCTCGAATCTCGTGAAAAAACTGGTTCGTGAAATCGCGCGAATCCCCTCGACTTCCAGGCCGATCGATTTTCAGCATTTCGAGGGACGAAGGCGCCGTGGCGACTCGGGAAAACGTCGAAATCTTGCCGATCGTCCCCAAAATCTCGCCGATCTTCCGTCCTGATGCCAGCCCGTGAGAACGGTCCCGATCCCGTTACGACCCCGTTACGACTACGTGTCCGACCCCCGTGACGCAAGAGAGAAAGGGAAGAAAGGGTGAAAACGTGACGTCTGCGGCCGAGTCCCGGGAAAGGGAGAAACTGCATTTCAAGGTTCAAAGTTACCCGGTTCAAAGTTCAAGAGTTCGGAAGGCATTCTCGCCGCCGATACGAAGGATCGCCGCCGAGGAGCGAACGGGCAGAAGCCCTCACCCGACGAGAGATAGCAATCGCTCGAGCCGAAGACCTTCATGACCTTGCCGGTGTCGTTTTTCCCTTCGTTTTCCCCTTCGAGAGTCGATCGGTTACATTCGGTCCGAGTTTAACCTTGCCCCAGATGCTGAGTCACTCGTAGCCGGCCGTTTCAAGGTGATCCGCGTCCATCGACTCCACCCGTTAGTGAGGCCACGCGAGATCGTCGCGTCGTGCGACGCGTCTTCTCTCGTCGAGCCGAAACCGGTCGCCGATACCGAAGGCGCGCCGTCTGACCCGTCATGCATCCCCCCCCGATTCCCGATGCCGAGCACCCCCCTCGATTCCCGATGCCGACCCGTGCATCTCGGATGGCAACGGCCTTGGCCGCGCAAACAAAGACGAGCGGACGCGAGGAAGTCTCCGAGACGAGATGCCATCGACCGAGCGAGGAGAGACGCATGCGCCTCCACGTCCTTCCATCGCCCTCACGGCTTCCAAGACCTTGGACGCTCGACCTCCATCGTCTCCTCGTGAGGGATGCTTCCTTGGGAGACGCCCACGAAGCCTCTTGCTGTAGCGCGGTTCCGTTTCTCCGAGGCTGCTGCGGGAACCGCAAGGGAATCTTCCGGAGAAATGAGGTCGCCGAGTGGGAAGAATCGAGTTCCGCGTACACCACTCCGTGTGGATTCCTCCCAACGATGGATCCCCCCACTCGAACATCTTGCCGCGGAAATCGCTGCCATATTTTCCCATTTTTCACTTCGTCTTATGCGGAGCTGAAACGCCCTCAAACTATGGCATCTGGACTGTAAAGTGCTTCCTGGTTCGACTTCGCTGGCAGGGACTTTATAGTCATGAAGAGGCAGGTCCTGCGAATTTCCTACGGTCGCACCCGAGCCCGTCAGCAGACTGAGACTGCCTGTCGGCGCTTAGCCACGTTGGAATGCGCAAGAGCAAAGAACGAAAAAAAAAGTTTCGTGCTTCAACTTGGAAAGGATTTTGCATTTGAAGAACTTGGCAGATTTTTACAAACTTGACAGCCTTCCTTCCTTGTCAGTCTTATATTCACTTGAGAAGTAGACAGAAAAACAAAGGGACACGCACGGATATCAGATGGAGACGATACCAGACGGTGATATAATAATGATTAAGAAATGAAGAGACAAATTTTTTAAAAAGGGAAAGTGTACAACGCACCCCAATGACTTGTAGGACCCACCGAGGGCGAGGACTCCGCCGGCGATGTCGACGCCGCCTGATGGGTCCACGCCCTACCGCAGTCTCCGCTTGCCTCCTGAAGATGGCGACAAGGGCGGAGAGCCCTTGATCTCTCCGATGCGACTCTTAACGGGGTATGTCCAGTTTCTGCATCGGTATCGAATTGTTGAAGTCCATTTCCTGTGCCATTACGGTGTCGGCAACTTGTCGATGCTTCCCGTGTGGAAATTGCTCCCCGAAGAGCGGAATCTCAGCATATCTGATCATTTCGGCTGTTCCTTTTGCAAAGGTCCCGTTGCTTTACCTTTTAATTTGACTACATCACAAAGCACATGATCTAATCTCCTGTCCCTAATTCTGCCTTACCTTTTTATTTTCCACGATGAACATGATGTTTTAATACATTTCTATAGTATAACAGCGCGGCCGATGAATTCTCTTTTCTTTTTCGTTCCATACGGGACCCATATATAATCACTTTTTTTATCTTAAAGTTTAAGAGTTAAATTACTCCCAGGTCAGACTAAGGGTAACCTCAAGTCGACCACGACGGGAGTCCAAAGACGCAACGGTGATCCACCGAAAACAAAGCAGAACCACCTCGACAAGATATCGAGTCGCATTACTCCCTTAGGACCCCACGCGATGTCGGATTTTCAGAATACAACTATGCGAAAATAAGACTACCAGGCCCAAGAGGCTCAAGGCCCAACATTTTTTGATGTATCAAACGATTTGAATCGCTTCATTAAGTCTTTTTCCAGCGAGATTTTAAATAATACTTCCTCTTTAAAGGGCAAAACGGGCCATATTGTTCTTTCTCTGACTTATCTCAGATCTGGGCGCTGCAATATTCTCGACTGAAGCTCAAGTCACATAAATTGTCACGTATACCTAGACGAGCCACTGAGCACATGCCCAGTACGCTGTTTTCGGATTGAATTCGTGCCCTCCTCCCTCATCTGGGTAGTGGAGAACAGAGAAAGCGCTACTTCCGGAGGATCCACTTCATTATATACAAATAAAACACTTTTCAGGTGTTCCTACTTGCAATCAACAGAAGTGCTCCTATGAGGGGGATTACGAATTCATTCAATCCGAAAACTATTCCTAAGGATTCTCGGACTGTCATGGCGGCGTCTTTGCATACATTGCTTGGTTTGGTTTCCGGTAAAGCAGTATGAATGTGTCCTTTCCTTTGTTCCCGTCTCGTGGGGGTCGTGCTGGCTCCGTCGTTAATGAGCTTAGACTCCCGGGGAAGCGGTCCAGATTCGAAACTCATCAAGTCTGTCGTGTGCTGCGGATAGGAACCGACGCACCGCATCTTCCTGACCTAGGCCGGCATTCAGCACGAGAGACTCGGATGCCAAACGCGGTTGAACAGATGTAATACCTCCCCCGCAGGCGGTATCGTGAAACCTACTTCGCGTAGCTCGAAACTGAGACACTCTACAGCAATTTACTTTAATTTAAACGGCCCTTAACTCTTCATACGGTAAATTTCCTTACAGGATTTGTACCCTAATGAGCATACTATTTTTTAAGCGCCGTAAATGCTTCAGACCCAATTTTCATGGATTCGTGGCTTTAAATACTTGAAACATAATAAATATATCTTTCTTAATATCACAAGAAAATTGATTTAATTTCAATAACAAATTCTTCAATGTGGTTCACCTAATATTTTGCTGATCAGGAAGTGCCAGAAAATGTGAATCCATGCACCACAATGTGAACATTTGCTCTGCTTGATATGACTAAAGTCATTGATTGAGAGCAATTTTTGGGAAGCATTCAGATTCATCTAGATCCAATGTATACAAAACCATGTGTTACTAAGTGACCATTTGTTTGTCTCATTGAAAAGATTTTGCAGAACTTTTGATGCCAGAACATATGAGTAATTCCTGTAACATTGTTCTATACTGGTGAATTTCACTGCTTATAAAGATTTGCGCGAAGTAATTTCTTTTTAAGTTCTTAAGTTTCTCTCTAACAAGTCTTTGCCCTCATCAGAGACTGTTAGTTAAGTAACAAACCCAAATAATATAAGGAAACAGAAGATAAGTTGGAGAATATGTAAGAGGGAATTGGATATATAACTAGTGCATTTATTGCTTTTCAAGAGATTGTTACAGAAGATGAAAGGAAGGAATCAAGAGCTAAAAGAGCCCTATAAGAAGAGGCCTGACTCTTAAGAGAGTCATTCATGGGATCAGGGGTATTATCCTTGATGTAAGAATGATAAAAATAGTTATACCAAGAGTTTTCCTTAGACTGCGAGGAGCTTATGAGAAGTTTGCCAAGTTCTCCAGGTTGATAGTTGCTATATGGGAAGCATGGCAGAGAGTCTGAAGGGGCAAATGCATTTGTTCCCTGTTTTTTTCGCATACTCCTTCAATTGATGTAGAAGGCAATAGTGATGAAGTCTTTCTATATATAATTTATCTCGCCTGTAAGTCAATCATTTTATTATAAGTGAAGAAAGTTCAATGATTTTTCCTTTCCTTGGAAAAAATCATTTGAATTTTTGGAGTCTATGCAGTTTCTATTGGAATGCAAAAAAAAATTGGCATAATTGCTAACAGAATCCTGGTTAGTGCATGAAATTTGACCCTGCCTAATTTGGAGCATAATAAATTTACTCAAAGTGTTAATTCTTACCTTTCTGTAGACATGTAGTCATGAAAATTTTGTATTTCGGCATGAAAATCTATTTAAAACAGGTTATGAGAGGCCTAGTCATTTCCGACTGAATGACTTGATTTTAATGTTACAAATTTTGCAGTGTCTATTTTCTATGATTTGTTATAGGGTATGCCAAAGACTTTGGCATAGATATCTCGTGGGGCGTCATTTCAGTTGCAGCATCATGAGGCCTGACAAAAATTCTATGTCTTTCTCATACCCTGAAGCATTCAGGGATTCTCAAGTGGTGGATGAGTACCATGGTGTTAAAGTGAGTTTTTTTTGTCTCTCTCCAAGCAAGTATTATTACTTCAAGGCATTACTGCTTCACTTTTTTTGGACCTATGCAGGAAGCTATAATGTTGCAATGTACAGTTGTCAGATGTTCTGAATTTGGAGGTTGTAGTAACTAGTGGAGGTAGGTAAACAAACCCACATAATGAAATATTCATGAATTTCCCATCAACTGAGCAACCAGGTGCAATGGGATGTCAAGGGAACCTGTCATCTTGTTGAATGCCTTGTGTACAAAAGTGGTAATAATTTGCAAATGTGATGAACTGAATGAGAGCATGTTCCCCATTTCACATTGACTTATTGACTACCTTTGTCAATATGTGCCTACAAAATGCTCTTGGAGAGTGTAAAATATTTTATCCCATTTCTCAATTCTGCAGGTGTCTGATCCATACCGTTGGCTTGAAGATCCAGATGCACCTGAGACAAAGAAGTTTGTTGACCTCCAAAATGATGTGACTCAACCTTATCTGGAAGGATGCTCTGCAAAACTGAAGATCAAGGAGAAACTGACTCAAATGTGGGACTTTCCAAAGTATGGGTGCCCTTCCAAGCATGGCGATCGGTACTTCTACTTCATGAACACTGGTCTTCAAAATCACCAGTAAGGTGGCTTACTTGTTGCATCCTTTTTGTTCGAGCACTATAAATTCATAGATCAGAGGGTATATTTTCACAATTTCAGAGTGAATTAGTTGACATCATTTCACTTTTCATATTTTGCCTATTATTATTTCATCACCAAGAGGTTATCTTCATGAAGGCATTAGTTGCTTAAATTATGAGACTTAGATTCCGTTTGCTTGTGCTCCATTCTTAAATTAAATGTGGGAAGAAGTGAATAATAAAAAGGAAATTAATTATTTTCCTAGTATTAAAGAAGTGAATGGCAATACCATATTGAGAAAGGAAAATACATTCCCATAGATAGCAACTTGTTTATCTTTCTCTGAATGCTTAGCAAAGTAGGACTGGTGGTTCTTTAACAGCATAAATATAAAGATTAGAACAACACTTCAAGAACATGAAGAAAATTTCTTATGCTGTTCCTTAGAAAATAAGCTGGAAACCTAAAGCCTCAAATGCATGGAATGTTACCAGAATCTGCTAGAAGTCCTTTGGAAGCCATTTTGAGCCAGGAAAAAGTGCTTCTCCCGTGAAAGCAGAATGATGCATGCATGACAAGAGCCTGCCAGTAACATGCATTCTCTTTATGTAACATTGTGGGCCATCTGATATAGTAGCCTTTTGACTTGAACTGAGCCTTGTTTAGACTGTGATCTGCATTTTGAACTTCCCTTGCAGCCAGGAGTGTTTTAAGTATGTAGTCATGTACAATTCATATGCAACAGCTTCAGCTTTATAGCCCTTGCAGCAATAGTAAACATGTTCCCTGAGGAGGCATGAGTCAGGTCCTTTTCTCAGTGCTTTTGAGGAATTGTTTCCATAGGTCTATGCTCCTTCTATCCCACATTCAAAGACTGCAATTTTCATGCATTTTAGTTTTATGCAACATAATAGTCTGTTAAAATCCAAAACCCTCAGTGACACAGGTTACCTAAGAGCCATATTCATGTCTTTTTTTGTGGAATACATAATGCCACTTGAAGGTAGTCATTATTCCAATACTCTCTTTTCAGTGTGCTCTATAAGCAGGAGTCTTTGGGAGCAGAATCCTCTGTCTTCTTGGATCCCAATGAGTTCTCACCAGATGGTATGCAAGAAAAATCTATTTTTATTGTGTGCCTTGCATGTTTTTTTCCCTTTTCATGAGCAGAATATTCCAACAAACCCAACCAGTGGATGATGCACAGATGATATTTTTAGTGAAAAAACAGGAAGAGCTTGTGAAGCAAATGAACCTCCTGCCAGCCACTACCTCTAGGAAATGTAGACCATCATATGCTTGCAGTTTTCCTCTTTATCTGTAACTTTTTTTCTTTTTTGTTTGCCAGACCTCATTATAAATCCAATAACCTGCTAATAAAAGGTTTTGGGATAGATACGAATTTTTTTTGTTGTTTTTATTTCCTGGCAATTTTAATCCCAGCCAGGTTCACTTTTTAATAGCCCAATTCTTACCATGTACCCTAATAATATTTTTCATCTTTTTATTGCAATGTTACTGGACACAAAGCACATTTCTGAACTGGACTAGCATGCATAACTCTTTGCTGAGGGAGGCCCAACATAGGACCCATCATGTTTTAGGGTAATACATCATCCCTTGGTAACTACTTGGGCCAAATTGAATGAAATAAGGTTAGAAGCTTCTTTGGTGAGGTTTTGGAGGTAGTGCTAGCTGGGATTCTAGTGCAAAGACTCTTTCATAACCCTTTAGCCTCCTGCACCTGCTAGTTGTTTGTATTGTATCATAATCAAACTGGGACATGGGAATTTTTGGAAAATCCCCCAAAACATAAGACATTTCTGAATCTGCCATAGAATCCATCTTGTCATGGTTTTTGCTTGAATAAGGAAGATATTAAATGATTAAGGGAAAGTGAGGTCTTAGCTAATTTTTATTTGTGGATTGCATCTCTCTTGCTGGTTTACAGGGACTGTAGCTCTCAGTGGAACTGCATTCTCTGAGGATGGAGCTACATTGGCTTATGGTGTTGCCAAATCGGGCTCTGATTGGAAATCTATCAAGTTCCGCAAGGTTGACACGGTTGAGGACTATCCAGAAGAACTGAAGAATGTCAAATTCTCCAGTATGGCTTGGACCCATGATCATAATGGGATCTTTTATGGGGTGAGGTATTCAACATCAAAAGTGCTTTTTTCTTGTAAGTGAAATTTACATAGGACCTCTCAGAAACAATTAATTGACTGGTCTTTTTCAGCTTTGACCTCAAAACTGAACTTGGCAAACTACATATATGCTGAAATATTGGAATGGGAATTGCATGCTTGAGTTCAGGGGACATCCTTTCAAAAAGTATTTTTTTAAATCAAATTTGGCCATGAGATCAAAAGTCCCATTGTAAATCTAGTTGATTTTAGCTTTATTTGCTTTATGGATATCACTGGAAGAATTGCTCATTTTCCTACTTTCTCTACAGAGGTACCCTCATGCAACAGGAGCTGATGGAACAGAAACAGAAATCGTGGAAAACATGAAGCTGTACTATCACCAGCTTGGCACCTCACAAGAAGAAGATATACTAGTCATAGAATTTCCAGATGAACCTAAGTGGATGATGTAAGTTTAAATTTGCTCTTTAATTCTTTTTTTCACCCATGTGTCCATAATACTGCAATCAATGCCTTGTATCAATTCTGTCTGTTTTTACATGCAGAGGAGCAACTGTGAGCGATTGTGGCCAGTATCTGTTTGTGACCCCACACAAAGATTGCCGAGACAATCTGTTGTATTTTGCTGATCTGACTGCTCAGTGTGGTGGTCCTGGGAAGGGCCCCACTGGTCCCATCACCCTTACACCAGTTGTGACTAAATTTGAGGCAGACTTTGCTGTGAGTCTTGACTCCTCAATGCTTTTATGGAGTCTCATTGTTTATTGGTTCTCACTGTTGCCTTATTGCTGCTTGTTATTATATAACTTTCTTTTCTATGCAGTATGTGACAAACACAGGCTCCAGGTGTGTGTTCCGTACCAACAAGGATTCACCTAACTACCGACTCATCATCATTGATATGGAAGCCCCTGAAGAAGCAAAATGGGAAACATTAGTTGCAGGTCATGAGGTGGATGTACTTGATTGGGCTGCTCCTATCCATCATGACAAACTTGTCCTTTGCTACATGCAAGATGTTAAAGTATGTTTTCCCCACTCACTTCCAACATTGTCATGGTTGATGGCATAATAGACCAACTTGAAATAATATTTTCTTGTTGTCAAGAAATTGAGTTATCTTGGGTGTAATGTCCAGATGTCCTTTCATGTAAAGCTTCCCCAAGTGTCTGATGAAATAACTTTAGGGTTATAGTGTCAATATGCTTGGAAGCTTGTTTGCAAATTTGATACAACAGTCATATAGTCCCTTCTTTTTCACTAATGGGAAATAATATCACAATCTGTGAGAAGTGCTTAAAATTCTGAGAGCTGGCAAGAAAAGTTGAAGCAGTTCATCCTTAATATTTTCTGCATTTTTAGTTTTTCACTGGTGTGCTACCATTATGCATTAGGTTTTCTGGAATTTTTGTATCCCATGAGTATGCTTTGAGAAAAATCTTAGAAAGATTGCTTCATGCTAAGGCAAGGATGTATCACATTTAAAAACTTAGGATTTAGGATCCTTGAGAGATGACTGTGGGATCCCATTACAACAATGCCATGTGTGAGAACACTTGTTATTTGTTGTTTACTATTGGAATGAGAAAGAAAGATTCTTTCTGTTCCAGAATATTCTGCAATTATGGGATCTGAACTCCGGGCAACTTCTCTTAACTCTACCCTTGGATGTTGGCACGGTGTCTGGTTATTCTGGAGAAAAGAAACATTCAGAGATGTTCTACACCTTCTCATCCTTCTTCACCCCAAAAATTATTTACAGGCTTGACTTCAAAAGGCAGCCATATGAGCCTGAGGTGAGAGGATTTGAACAGTTTTGAAGTTTTGATATTTTGTACTAAGAGTAGACATCATGGGAAAAGGGTTCTGTGTGTCTTTGAATATCATCTGTGTGTCTCAAATAATCTCTTGACCATTGATGTCAGAGATCTCCATAGACAACTAATTTTTTTTGCCTGCAGTTTGTCACTATTTTGTTATTGTAAGTGAGAATGTTACTGCAATGTTATCAATGGTCATGCTTATTTGCAGTAATTTTGTGTAAAGCCATAGCTCTTGAAGATGATGGTGTTGTATACTCTTACAGGTGTATAGAGAGGTGAAGGTAGGTGATGTTGACACAAGTGATCTCACTACAAAACAGGTATTCTACTCAAGCAAAGATGGATCGAAGATTCCCATGTTCATTGTCATGCGAAAGGTGAGTTTCTGCAATATAAGACTGAGAATAATATCAGGGAAACTGCAACTCTTGTCAATAGTCAGGCCATGGAGCAAAGTTTATCATATTAAGATTTACCCAAAATCTTGCCTAAGAAAACATTCAAATCTATCCAATGGTACATGAATGAATGCCAAATTTTTTTTTTTCCCCACTCCTCCCCATGGTAATACTCTCATGTCCATTCAAAAGAATGAGGAGAAAATGACTAACTCTTTTGCTCAGGGGTGTATTTTAATCCATTATGAGATTGAAAGAATTTGTATCATCTTGCAATCTGTAGAATATGCATCTGGATGGTTCAACTCCATGTCTTCTCTATGGATATGGTGGCTTCAATATCAGTGTCCTCCCTTCCTTCTCTGTAACAAGACTTGCCTTCATCAAATTCTTCAATGGTGTTGTTGCAGTGGCAAACATCAGAGGTGGAGGGTGAGTCTCCCATCTATTGGATGCCATTTGTTCCAAATACTGCTTCACTTTTTCATACTTAATGTATTTTCCCCATTTTCAGAAGCCATTTTACTGATATGCTACTATGGCAGTATAACATGATTTTTCATGCACTCTTGTCTAACCTTGTGCTTCTTGTGATAATTATTTTCTGTCTATGGCTGATCCCCCTTTTTTCAAATTCAGTATTTCTCCTGTATTCCAGGGAATATGGAGAGAAATGGCACAATGCAGGTCGCCTTTTGAACAAGCAAAATGGTTTTGATGACTTCATTGCTGCTGCTGAGTACTTAATTAAAGAAGGATACACATTACCCCAGCGGTTGACAATAATGGGTGGTTCAAATGGAGGTTTCCTTGTTGGTGCTTGCACCAATCAGAGGCCTGACCTCTTTGGAGCTGCTATTGCTCAAGTTGGGTATGCCTATACTTGCTTCTTGATTTATTGTTTCTCCATGCTGTACATTTGTCAGAATGCCAACAGGACTTCATGATCATGCACTGAGTGCACATTGCAGAATGCACATTCTCCATTTACTGAAATGTTAGTCCTTAAATTGGCTCTATAGATGTGGTTTTTATAGGCAAGAATATTCAAGGATCATATGTGGAGTACTGTAAAGTTGATGAAAGAGTAATTTTAAAAAATTTTCCCATGTGCTTGGTTCTCATTTGTGCAGTTTATCACATTTTCATCAGTACCTGAGGCCTTTGGGTAGGGAGTACTTCTCAATAAGACACATTGGCATTGAAAAGTCTTGGTCCTTTTTTTTTTTTTATGAAGACCCCAGATGGGACCAAAATGAAAGTTCTCATCTTTTCTAGCTTGTACCATAGATTAGGTTCTGGTTGTGCATAGTTTATTTTGACACTGTTCTTATGGTTAAACACTAATAAACTTATTTAAGTCAACAAAATTCCAACTGAACTTTAATTGAGGCAATTTCTGAAATAATTTAAGGTTGATGCTGTTCTATGTAGAATCATTCAGAATTCTAAGGAACATCTTTTGTTGTCATAGTTGTTAGTTCTTTCATGTTTTGTAGCTTAAGTAGGCTCATGCAACGGTCTATGAAACATTTTGAGATAGACGTTTCTTCATTAGCTAACTTTACAGTAAGCTGTATTTGGCTCAAGTGAGGTAATCTTTTTGTGTCAAAAATATTTGTATGAGTAACAAGGGGAGGGATGAAAGAAAACAGGGAGCTGGACCAAGACTGAAAATTGGTCATCTCCAAGGCTGCATTCAACTGTGTTGTGTTCACAAAGTATGCAATATAATTATAAGTTTACTTACTTCTTCATTTACTGATCTGTGCTGCATTTTTTGTTCAGAGTCATGGATCTTCTGCGTTTCCATCGCTTCACCATTGGATATGCATGGGTCTCAGATTATGGAAATCCAGAAGAAAGTGAAGAACATTTTGCGAATCTTCTTTCTCTTTCTCCTTTGCACAACATTAAAACCCCGCCAAATGGTGTGCAGGTGAGTGAAATGATTACAATGAGGCTTGCTTCATCATTGCTCGAGATCCTGCCAGGAACAGACGTATTGAATTTTGGAACTTTGAATTATACTCTACTGCTGGGGTGAACAGTAGCATGGAAAGGAATTTAAATTATTCATTAGCATTGGCATTGTCTTGGAGAAAATGCATTGGTTCAAGTTGTACCATCTGAATTGTGTGTCCTGATTTTTTTTGCCAGGGCAGAACAAGTTCTGTTTCAAAACAGCAAAAAACATTACATTCCTTTAGGAGATTTTATTTTGCAAGATTCCAATGCAGTAGATAAATAAAAGCAGAGGGAACCTGTTATTTTTAGACTCCCTCTGATCTGTGAGATAGATCCTCATAAATTTCTATTTTTAGACTTCTGATCTGGGAGATAAGATACTTATTCATTATCTTCCATGTGACTTTGATACTTCCTTAGATCCCCAGTTCATTGCATTCATTTTGAACTATGGAACCCTGTTGTGCATTTAAATGAGATTAGAACACTTGAGAATCTATGGAAACTCTCTATCTGCCCATGTTCAGTGAGACAGCTGTGCTAATAGAGTGAAAGAGGAGGTGTATGTGACATCCAATCAGAAGTACATTTCTGGAGAATTGGGTGCATGAGAAATTTACTGGGGTTTAGAAAAAAAATACAATACTTCCTTGTTGCCCATTTTGTCAAGGCTTATTTATACGATCATACATTTCTGCCATTATTTTTTCGAAGGTGTTCCACGTGGAACTGATCACAAGTATATTTAGGTAATTTTGTCAGCCAATTTTTATGAGTTTTATCTCCTGCCCAAAGCAGTCCAGTTTTCCTAAGGTCAGCATGGATGAAGTATTGACATCTCTGTGCTCGAAGATGGCAGGCTTGCCTCCTAGTTGTTGCTAAGGATGGACTGATGTGATGGGGCACCCATGTGTTTTCAAGAGTTCTTACTTGAATTGTAATTTTCTCACTGAAACTTGTGGGATTTTCTCTGCCCAGTATCCCGCCATTTTGCTCCTGACTGCAGACCATGATGACCGTGTTGTTCCTCTGCATTCCCTCAAGTACATTGCTGAGCTCCAGCATGTGATTGGGAAACGCCCCCAGCAGGTATAATAAATGACTGAATCTGTTATTGTTTTCCTATAGTTCTAGAATCTTCTTTCATTCCTTATGCTACTGCCAATATGGTAATCTTTTCAGAAAAATCCTCTGATGATTCGGGTTGATGTCAAAGCTGGACATGGAGGAGGCAAGCCAACAACTAAAGTGGTAAGAACTGAAAATCTTTTTCATTATTGGGTCATTTCATCACAATGATACTGTCAAAACTTTGACACTATGAAGTCTGGTCTTGATTAAATTTATTGAGTACAAATGATAAGTTATTGGTTAAAATAAAGTTCCCAAATATCACTTTCTTGATTAAATTGTGTAGTACAATTTCATTATAAGTAAGCTCTAATGACATGAGTTTGAAGTGCCTCATGATTGCTCAAGCACATCAGCCATGAGAAACTTTGAATGATTTTTCACAAATGGAAGCCATAATGATCTAGAGTGCATGAAGAAAAGTGTATCTGGTAACAAAGTAAAAGACTCCATTTGAGTTGTAGTAAAGGGGGCTTCTAAGAATTACTCATTGATGTGCATGTGCATACATGATTGTTTCTGTTCAGATTGTCCTATATTCCATACAACTTGTAATTTTTGTTTTGCAGATTGAGGAGTACACAGACATCATGTGTTTTGTGATGCAAGCATTGAACCTTGACATTCATGTTTGAGAACATGGTCTCTGCATATTTTGTCTGGTGCATTTCAATAAACTTTTAATGCTACAGATATCTCTGTGGCATGATTTTTTTTTTCTCATATATGTGAAGTGGCAAGGTTTTCGCTTTCATTGATTGAAATACACTTCTTTCCATTTCTCCAAACACTTCTTTCACCAAATATGTGCCTGCTACTATGCTATTGCTCTTAAGTTGTCCCATTTGACAATGGCAGATCATTTTGAAAATCGTTAGAAATGAAATTATTGTTCATAAGCAGAAGTTCAGGAGTATATTTTAAGTAATTTGCCTTTGAAAAACATGGAAACTGAGTACTCTTTCCCAGTACCGATGGCAGTACTCTTACAGGTTTTACTGAAAGTGTCCTTTCAACCACCACATTCACTTTGGACTTGGGGTGACTTAGACAAAGTAGTGACGATGAGTGGCCCTGACTGACACCTTAAATTTAAAAAAAGATGGGATTACTGCTGTAACTGGGACCCCTGGACATAGCATCAAACGTTTCAGCACGTGGTTGTAATGAAGTATCGGCCATTTCCTAATTCACGGCGGGGTGCAACGACGTTGAGGTGGGGAAAATCTGAATTTGTGTCAAATGTGAGATATGCATAGGTCTGGTTGTTTAAGCAAGATTCCCATCGCTGTAATTTCAGTCATACCTTTCCTTCGGGAATTTGCGGAATTCAGAAGTTCCAAAAAATACACAGGCATGAAAAGTAAAAGCAACAACACGAGTCAATGGAACAAGTATCAATGGAAAGCGCTTGGAGAGAGCTCTCATTTGACACTAGTCACAAGTTTATATCTTGTTTAAAACAGGAAGTGCGAACCGCCAAAATTGATGAAAATGGGCAATTTTGAACTTTCAAATTTAATTTTAAGTTGTTTCAAAAAACGTAGGAAGTTGAAATGTAGTTCTTAAATTGACACTGCCTTAGTCTACAATGTTACGAAAGGTCGTGGTGTTACTCTTAGTGCTCATGATTTGCGTGCAAAATTCTGCAATATTTACAAATTTGGAAATTGCATAACTCAATTTCTAATAAACGCAGTAGAGAATGCATTTAATAATCCGATTCTACATGGTCTCAGCTTTACTTAGAGTCCAAAAACGCGGGTTTAACTCGACTAGGACCAAAAATAGCGCTTTAACCCTAAAGGCCACTTTTCCTCTTGGGGGCGAAGTTTGGAGCCGCATATCTCGAGATCCGTTAGAACCAGACAGCCAAAATTTCGGATTTTTTCATAAGTCTTGATCGCCAGCATGCAATAATATTTTCAAGCAAATCGGAGTCTGAAGCCCAACGAAAGTGACTAAAATTTGACCACTTGAGCTGGAACGCCTCAACTATGAATTGGAAGTCGGACGCGACCCGCATGGGCACGACAGAAGACCGAGCGAACAAGAGTGCGAAATAAAAAAATAAATAAATAATAATAATTAAAAAAAACCTTGCCGTCAGGAGAATGCAGGAAATGTCCCAGCCGGAAGCAGCGGAATTCACCGATGGTTCGTCTTCCGATCGGGCGATTCCCGCAACGTCTGCACTGCCGACACTTGAGGAGTTTTTTTGCATGTCGGTCACCTCTTACTCGGTCCTAAAACCACCAAAGAACCGAATGCAGGTGCAATCTGCATTGCCACCTGCCCCCAAATATATTCATAGATAAATGTTCGACTCGTGTCGAACAATCGGACTCTCGCCGTAGAGCACGGTATTCGGCGAGGAAGAGCACCTTGCTTCCGTCGCCCACGCGTCATTATTCACCCAGTTGAGATGAAAGAGCTGTGATCGCAGTGACGTCACAGTACATGTGGCACTATCCATTGAACTAGATGGAGTACTGATTCAGGTTCTTATTGGGAAATGATAGAGCGGAAAAGTGTGTTAAGTTGCGGAGTTCCCATATTCGCCCTACTGGTCCTCCCTCTCCCGTACCGATTGTGGGACAAAAATTGAGACCGACGGGAAACGCCACGACCTAAGCTAGAACTGGCCCTCGCAAGAACATTTAGCGGCGCAAAAATCCGCAGCAAAATAAAATTTCCTCCACCTTTACTCGGTAATAGTGAATATTCCAGTGTCCGTCTTCTTGAAATCGAAGAAAAGTGGTACGAATCAACAGACCAACTCATCTTCAACATACCTGCCAAAAAAAAAAACTACCATTTTGGTAGTTCGAAAACTACTTTGGTAGTTTACCAAAGGAAAAAGCCAGCTATATTTTTTTTTTTTTTTGGGTGGGGGTGGGGGGGGGGGGGGGGGGGAAATGAAATTCACATCTTCCAAAATCGAGATTCAGTGATCTCCACAACCCCGGGGAAACGGAGCTTTAAATTTGCTGGAGCTGTTCTGTGTTGCGAGAGAAAAAANGGGGGGGGGGGGGGGGGGGGGGCGGAAACATATTTTGCAGATGGACCACTTTCCCTTTCACCCCTACATATGTTGCTCGCTGCAAAGAACTGCTCCCCGAGATATCCCTCATGTTGCACCATCTGCGACCGAAACTCTGAGGCCCAACCCCCATGAAATTCACGTTTCCTCATGCATCAGCCCTTCCACCAGCCTCTTCCCTCGCAACTCTCGCGATGGAAAAAAAAAATTAATAATAAATAATTAATGAACCCTGGATGGCCCCCTCTTGCATGTAGGCTTTTAAGGCTCCGGAAGCTAACCGAGGGGCTCATTGTTTCCTAGTCGGTCCCTCGACTGTTGAGTAAGACGGAGGATTTGCTGCTTTCGTACTGGTTCGATTCGTCGAACAGGGCCAACAGCTGAAGCTTCTCATCGATGCGGAATAGACGTTGATGCTGCATCACCTCGCCATTACGCAGCTATCTTTTCCATCACAACCGCGGCTTATGAATACCGGCATTTGGAAAACTGCTCCAAACCAAGTTTATTTTGAACGCATTTCAAGCATCCACATAAGCATTTTGAAATGCAACCCATACTTGGTAAATCAGTAAGTAAAAACGCACTTTTAAGCGATTTAAATGTTCTTATTTTAAAAGTTAAAATGTACTGTGCCCAGATGAAACTCCTACTGCTCCTGCGAAACGGCGGGCGAGCATGCACACTGGCGGGAGAGATCAAATCCCGCAGAGCAATCGAGGAATCGACGTTGCCTACGAGGACCAAGTCTTCGTAGGCTCGTAGGCTCGTAGTCTTCGTCGGAGACAAGCCCGCCCGCCCGTCTCTTTTCCTTCATTCCCCCAAAACTTATGATCGACGAGTGCTTTTTCTTCCCACGCAGACCTGCGGCCTCCGAATCTGCCCCTGTCTTTTCCATCCCGAGATCGTAATGCCATCCCACTTTTTTTTTTCCCCCGAGGAAAGTGGGGAGAAAGGCAAGGGAGAAAATGAGGAAACGGAAGCGCTGATGAAACATCCGCGAAAAAAAAAGTAAATAAACAGAAGCCTCAGCGGTGCGTCTCGCTCCTGTTTATTCTATGCTCATCCCAGGATGAAATCCATCTCGATTGGGAATTGCTGGAAACGCGGAGAAACCTTCCTTCCTGCTGAAGGGAATCCCTCGGGGGACTCGTGGCCCCGCACGAGGAACACGGGAGATTCGCCACGATCCATGACTTAGGATGATTACCCGAGAGTTTTTATCTCTCGTCTCTCTCCCACCGTATGCACACGCTAGAACGGATGCTTCATTCCCTCGCTCCCGACGCACACAAGCTCAAGCACCCGACTCGGAGGATATTAAGCACGGCTCCCTCTTATTGCAGTGCGTTTCTTTCGGCAGTTATTACACAGTTAGAGTCGGTTCAGGAATTTCTGAGATACTGCACTACAAGATTCATTCAAAAACTTCAGGCGGCTGTATTAAAAAAAAAGTGACAATCGACATTTCTATTTAAATCCGGTTTAACTCATCCAGGATACCAAGTGTAAGCACCCAACGCACGGATTCCAAAATTCATTTCAACGTAACCAGTCGTTATTTTTAAAGAAGCCATCCGACTTTGCTTGGACGCAGCTGATGTTTCACAGATTGAAAGAGAGGTTCATGGACTTAAAGGTTTTCCTACACACCCGCCGGATGATTTTGCCCGTGAATAGGGGGTGCTGTTGTCGCATACGGATTGAAGAAAGAATATAAACGATGCCAAGATGTTACCAGTGATTGCAACCTGTGCACCACATGCTGCACAGGCTGCAATCACTGGTAGCAAATTAATGTCTTATGACGATTCTGGGTCAGGCAAATAGCAAAGAATGATAATTTCCATAATAATAATAATAATAAAAGGAGGGAAAAGGCCCTTATTGACTACATTCAGTTCAGAAGGGAAGTGTTTCAAGTCCACCAAACTGCCGCTTTCACCGGGTCACACAACTGTTTCACACGGACGACTTAAAACTGTATGCGAGTAACCAGGGTCAACTTCAACATGCTCTTGAAGTAATTCACTCCTTCACCCGTG